TCCCCCACGGTGTGTCTGTGCAGCGCCTAGCACAACAACACTGGGTTAGACCAAAGGCCCATCTAGCCCCGTGTCCTGTCTTCTGACCGTGGCCAACGCCTGGTGCTCCAGAGGGAATGAATAGAACAGGGAACCATCAAGTGATCCCTCCCCTGTCACCCATTCCCAGTCTCTGACAAACAGAACCTAGGGACACTTGCCCATCCTGGCTAGCAGCCATCGATGGACCTAACCCCCCATGCATTTAGCGAGTCCCTTTTTGAACCCGGATCTCGAAGTACTGTAAGGGGTATGATCACATTTATCACCCAGCACCCAGGGTACCCAGCACCAACCAAGAGAGGGGCCCACATGCTGTACAAGCACAGAGCAGAGGACAGTCCCTGCCCTGACGTAATGGCTCACGCCTAGGCTCTCTCTCTGTTCCAGCAGATGACAGCGCTGTGAGTGAGCACAGGGAGGTGAATATTTCTCCACAGGCCCCAAACCTGGGGTGCCAATCACCATCCGAGATGTCGCCCAAAAAGTCCAAGGGGAATGTGGCCAAAGCCCTAGAGAAGAAGAAGCCCAAGAACAAGCGCAAGTCGGATAAGCCGAAGCGCAGCCCGCCTGAGGAGGAGACCCTGGTCTACCAGCCGCCGCCCAAGGGTGACAGGCCCAACCTGTGCTCCGAGTGCGGGAAGAGCTTCCTGCATAGCTCAGACCTAGTGAATCACCAGCGCATCCACACGGGTGACAAACCGTTCATCTGCACCGACTGTGGCAAGAGCTTCCGGCAGAGCTCCACGCTCATCACCCACCAGCGCATCCACACCGGCGAGACCCCCTATGAGTGCAGCTACTGCGGGAAGAGCTTCCGAGTCAGCTCCAACTTCGTGCGGCACCAGCGCATCCACACCGGCGAGAAGCCCTACAAGTGCCCCATCTGCGGGAAGAGCTTCACGGACAAGTCCACCCTGACCCAGCACCAGCGCACCCACACCGGCGAGAAGCCCTACAAGTGTGCTGACTGCGGGAAGAGCTTCAGCCGCAGCTCCCAGCGCAAGCGCCGGGGCAAATGCTCCCACCGTGGCGGGGAGGCCACCCTGCCCAAGGCCAAAGAGATCAAGATCAAAAAGCGGGCACCGACCATCGAGACCCCCAACACGTGTGCCGAGTGCTGGCAGAGCTTTAACCAGAACTCAGACCTGATAAAGCACATGCGGATCCACACGGGCGAGAAGCCCTTCAAATGCACCCACTGCGGGAAGCGTTTCAGCGTCAGCTCCAACCTGACCCGGCACCAGCGCATCCACACCGGGGAGAAACCCTACAAGTGCCCCGACTGCGGGAAGAGCTTCACAGACAAGTCCACCCTGACCCAGCACCAGCGCATCCACACGGGCGAGAAGCCCTACATCTGCATCTACTGCGGGAAAAGCTTCAGCCGCAGCTCCCACCACAAGAGACACGAGAGAACCCACTCCGGCGAGAACCCTGATACCTTCCTGCCCTTGTGGCATTACCCTGGCCAGAACTTCTAGAGTCACTGACCCCTCTGGCAACAAAGCCCCCAGAGACAGGGGTGAGGTGGGAAGGGAAGGGCTATGGGGACAGGGGAGGGCATGGTCTGGCCTGCTCATGTGAGGGACTTGTGTGGGGGACAACTGGTTGTAGGACAAATGATTGGTGAGGACCCTAGCGATATTGAAATTTGATGGCTTCAGAGGTGTGTGTGTGTGTGTGTGTGTGTGTGCGCACGCGCGCGCTTTACAGAATTATTAAAGTCATTGGCTGAAAGGGCTCTCAAGAGCCCGTATAATCTGTCTCCTGTTCTGAAGCCTAGACTGTCTCTGCTCTAACCTCTTCTTTAAAACCTCCACTGATGGGAACTCCCTGCAGTCGCTTACTAACCTATTCCAGTGCTGAACTTACCTTATAGTTAGAAAGTTTTTCCTAATATTTACCTAAATCTCCATTGCTGCAAGCTGAGCCAATTACTTCTCCTCCCACCTTCAGTGGACCTTGATGGATGACCATCCTCTTAAACCAGCCATTTGGGGACTGTTATTGGACCTCCTCTCAGTCTTCTCCTTTCGGGATTAAACAGGCCTAGTTCTTGTAATTTAAACCTCTTGCCATTGTTGTTGCTGTCCTCTGGACGCTTTCCAATTTGACTATGGTTCTCAAACTAGTCACAGTACTCCAGCTGAGGCCTCACCAAAGCTGCATAGAGCGGAACAAACACCTTCCATGTCTTACCTTTGACACTCCTGTTAATACGTCCCAGAGTGAAATTACATTTTTTTCCAGCTGTATCATGTTGATTCATTCACTTGGCGATCCAGTATGAGCCCAGATCCTTACTTGCTATCCTGCTGCCTAGACAGTTATTCTTCATTTTGTCTTTGTGCATTTTCATTTTTTTTTCTTCCTAAGTCTTTATTGAATTTCATTTTACTAATTTTGGGCATGTTCTCCAATATGTCACGGTCATCTTGCGTTCTAATCCTCTTCTTCATAGTGCTTGCAGCTTCTCCCACCGTGGCGTCATCTGTAGATTTTACAAGTTATCATGCAAGTCATTAACAGAAACATCGAATGGTACTGGACTGAGAACAGACCTGTGGGATCTTACTTCATACGTATACCTGGTGTGATAGCAAATCTTTGATAGCTACTCTTTGAATACTGTCTTTCGATCCATTGTGCACTCATTGTGTAGTAATAATGTCATCTAAACCCCCATTTTTCTAGTTTGCTTATGACAATGTCATATGACAACGTGTCAAAAGTCAAGCCATATTACTTCTACTTCCTCTGCCCAGCCACTAGGCCAGTAACCCTATCAAAAAAGGAAATTAGGTTGATTTGGCAAGATTTGTCGGCTATCACTCACCCTATGAACCCCATATTAGGTGCTTACAAATTGTTTGTGCAATAATTTGTTTCCTATCTCTCTGGATATTGAAGTTAGTGTGCCTGGCCTATAATTCCTCCCACCCTCCCAGCCCTTGCACCACTTTTTAAAAATAGGTACCATGTTCACCCATCTTCTGTGAATTCTCAACAATAATTCTAATGGATCAGAGATTGTGTCAGCTTGTTCCCTAAACACCCTAGGATGAAATTCACCGGGCCCTGGCAACTTGAATACTTGATCTAACTTATTTTCCCCTGTGCTGGCTTGTGTTCCTAACCCTTGTTAATATTAACAGTGTTAATCACCTGCTCATAGTTCACCATTTTAGTGAAAACTGCAGGAAAAGTGGCATTAAACACTTCAACCTTTTATGTGTCATCCATTATTACTCTTTATTCCCCTTTGAATACTGTACCTGCACTTTCTGTCTTTTTACTCATACTTCTAATGTATTTACAGAACTTCTTCTTGTTGCCTTTTATGTCTTTTGCTAGGTGTAACTCATTTTGTGCCTTAGCCTTTCAGATTTTGTCCCTATATGCTTGTGCTGTTCTTTGTACTAATCCTTAGCAATTTGTCCTTATTTCTACCTTTTGTACCATGCCTTTTGGATTTTCGGGTCATTAAAGAGCTCCTGGTGCAGCTATATTGGTATCTTGCTATTCTACTTAGAGGCAGGCGGTGAGTCTTTAATATTGTCTCTTTTAGAAAGTGCCAACTCACTATACTCCCTTTTTCCCTTGGCTTTCTTTCCAAGAGGACCTTACCTGGCAACAAGTTCCACATGCCCAGTGTGTGTGGTGTGAACAAGTACTTCCTGATATTTGTTTTTAATCTCTTTTAAACCATAGTTGGTGTGTTAAGTGAAGAAGTAAATAACACTTCCTAATTCACTTTCTCGACACCACCTTTAATTTTATTTACATCTGTTGCATCTCCCCTCAGGCATGTCTTTTCCCAGCTGCTCTATCCCAGTCTTTTTAATCTCTCCTTGGATGGAAGCTGTTCCAGTCTCCTCATCATTTTTGTTGCCCTTCTCTTTTTTCCCAATTCTGTATTTTTTGAGATGGAGTGACTTGAACTGCACAGAGTAGTGGAAGTGTGACGAACCAGAGTTTTATACAGAGGCATTATGATATTTCCTGCATTATTATTGACCAATTTCCTGATGGCTCCCAACATGCTGTTAGTCTATAAAGCTCCTGCCCATTGCCTAAGCTACATACCGGGGCTTTGGTGTCTGTGAGACCCAGGCCTTTTGTTTTAACACATCACTGGCCTGTATGGAATGAGTTCTAGGGTCTCAGCCCTGTCCCCAGAAGGCTCAGGTATCTACATAACAAAACCATCCCCGCATCAAGCTCAGGACTAGCTGGGCCAGCTGGAAGGCAGAAGCCTTTATGGGGAAGAAACTGAACGTCCGTCTTCTCCTGCAGAACAGGAAAGAAGAGAGTGTGTGAGTGGCTGGGGCGGGTGTGTGTGTATGTATGTGTTTGTGTGTGCGTGCATGCTCAGTTTGGAGTGCACTGCCATTGCTGAGCATCATGTAGGGCCACTGAACCCTGCTGCTCCCCCCAGCACCGCCTCCTATCTTGTGCAGCTGGTCGGATCCGACAGCAATCTTGCAGATCCCCCTGTGCTGCTGCATTTAGAAAAGAGGGGCTGTCGCTCCTGCCTTCCTGTGTAAATAACCCCCTCCTCCCACACACATTTATTAACACTGTGGTCCCTGTGCTGGCACCCTCAGCTGTTGCAGTGGGAGAAGCCCCCCTTGTCCCATCCATGACACCTGGGGCCAAGCAGCATGCACAGAGGGTACAAATTGTCATTAACATTTTTGAACCAAAAATCACCCCCCTCCCATTCCAGTTTGTCTTGGTGTCGGAGCTGAGCTGACGAGAGGCTGGTGGGCTGGGGATTCCCTGATTCTGCGGCCAGAGGCAAAGTGCCCCAGGGTAGGTTACACTCCCTTACTCAAACCCCAGCCCCCATATCAGGCCCAGCACATTAATTAACATCTCTGCCCCACCCAGCACAGGGAGCTGGATGCTGCTGTGGTTCTGCTCCCCTGGTTCCGACTCCCTAGGGCCTCAGTCTCCAGACTTGGTGCCTCCCCCTCCCTCCCTGGGAGAGTGGGTCAGTTCAGGGGACTTGCAATGGCGCCAGCAGAACCCTGGAGCCCAGGGCCCGTATGGGGCCTGGAGGCTGCTTAGAGCTGGAGTGGCTGTTCCCAGGGAGGCCGGGTGCATGGATGCTCCCAGCTGGGCTGCAGCATGTCTCCTCCCTGGCAGCATCTCCAGAGCAGAAGTGAGGGACAAAGACAAATCGAGTCTTTTCCCCAACATGATGCGTCCTTAGAAGCCTGGGCATGTCATGTCCAGACTGCGGCCCTGACTTTTGACTGGGCATTTGTAGCCCCTTTGGGAGCATTTGCTTTTCTTCGTAAGAAAGCTGCAGCAATACAAGATGAGTGGTGTCAGCTGCCGGCTCAGACAGTCCCTGTGATGTTCCCTCTCTGGGCTTGCCTTGCATGTCTCTGTTGTCCTAGACTGAGAGCAGCTATACACAAGTTCCTTTTGGCCTAAGCAGAGCCACCAACTTGCAGCATGGTCAGTCCATTTGCTGAGACCACGTGGCATCTGAAAGCTCAGCATGCAGGAAGGAGCACCATGCCGCCCGGGCTCACTGTGCAACAGAACATCCTGGTGAGCAGCACTCGTGGAAGGGTTGGCACAATCGGCTTCTGTCTCCCAGGAACGCCTGCAGCATTTCCAGCTGGACACAGGATTCTCCTTTGTGTTATGGCCAAACTGCTGGGTTTCATGTCTGCAGTGCTTAGCAGGACTGCTGGCCAGCAGCACGGGAAGGAAGCTGATGTTTCAGAGAACTGGCCAAAAGCAGCAGTCCTGCGGAGTTAGCCGTTTTCTCTGTGAGTAAAGTCTCTGCCACCAGCTGACAGTTTCTAAGTTAATGGTTATATATTTGAAATGGCTCAAGTAGGCTTTATGGACATATTTGAAATAGGGTTTGCAAAATGTAGCAAGTTTTCTGTCACTTATTCAGTGGTTGTGATTTCCTGCTTTGAGCTGTGTCATTTGTCTGGGTCATCTATCTATGGCCCCTGCCACCATGGTGTATGAACGCCTCCACAGTGTTTCAGTATAGGGGAATATCATATGGTACAGATTCTGCTCCCCAGCTGGTGGACTGACCTGACTTTTATAAACGGCTTCCATCCACAATTCATTGCCTTTCATTGCAAAACAAATTTTGTTCCTTCCTTGAACTCATCTCTTCTTCTGACCATGAACGCTGGTCTGGGCAAAGTTTTGTTTGTAGAACTGTTCACAAATAACAGGGCATGCACAAATCTATTTAAAAGCTGGTCTTCAGTTTGAGGAATTCTTCACCTACAGATTTTTATGCTCCTCAGCCTAAAGATGCTGTTTATTATTGCGGGGCCAAATCAAATACCCTGTTGGATGCACTGGTAAGGCACTAATGAAACTTCACATCACAGTCTCTGCAGAAGTCTCTCCTCTATGCAGGCTCCTTTGGCTTGCTC